TTGACCCGAGTCTCCATGCTTTTCCGCCTGAGTCTCTCCTGCCATTTCTTGCGAAAATTTTCTCTCTCTAAAGGGGTAGCATCCTTCTTAACAAAGACTGAATTAAACTCTGTGGATTCACTTAGTTTTCTCGCAGCCTTAAGCACATGTCCGACCTGGGCTGTATCCTGCACAGTTACAAGCAGCGGTCTACAGGCTTGTAGACCGCAACATTCTCGGGTACTATTAATGCGTTTTTCTGCGTATTACTTTGCGACAACTGCTCAGTCAGATTTCTAATTAAAAAAACTTTCATAATTCTGACCCTGCTTATATTCAGAAAGTCCAAGGCAAGAGCGATGCGCCTTATTATTAAATAGTTGTGGGTTGTAAAGCTGGGAGGGAATAAAATTGGCTATGCAAACGACATGTCTTCAAAATGACAGCTATCCGATTTGTTCACGCATTTTTTTCTACATAGAGGCATTAGTTCCTTATCACACCGCACAACTCAGTAGTTCCCGTTAATTCGGACGTTTCTCTTTTGATTAATCAATCAGTTTACTTGAAGTAATGTGTAAATGTTTCATTCAAATCAGTATATAACTTCAGTAAATTAATTATAATGAATAGAGCTTTATTACGTTTAGCCTTATCACACTAGTCTGAATAAATAACTGAAAAAATTAACTGCATGATTGTCGGACTGTTCCAAAAGGTAACTTCAGTTCACATTGTACCTGCCATATTTTTTATTCTTTGAAAAGAATCAAATGAAGATTTTAAATTGAATATAAGCTGAATAATGAAGCATTAATTCATTATGACCTGAAAAAAATAAGCATGAAATTGAAAGAGGAAATTCTATTAGAATCTACTACGATCTGGCAATTGTCGGTTGAGAATCTGTGAAAGGAAATTTAAAATGGTTAACAGGCTACCAGGCAGTCGGACAGTCGGACTCGGAAAGATTGTCTGTCAGTACCAGTCTAGGCTACTTGCGAGGTTGAGCCGCTGAGGCTGATACTAATAGGGCAAAGTAAATTTGTGAGCAATATTTTCTATGTCAGATAATCGAGACTGAAGAGTCTTTTTAAAATAATTACTTTCTCAGAGATCCCAAAGGCAAATAGTAATACACTGACAGCCGACACTCGACAGGTCGAGAACGTTCAGTCACCTACCCTAAACCCAGCCCCAAATCAGCAAATCCCAATGGATTATTATGGGCTTTTGCTGCCTCGGTGGCTCTAGCAGACTTAGAAATTAGATTTAAGAAGTTCTGTCTGAAGTTTACAATTTAGCCTACAATTCTTGAAAGTTGAAGGCTAAAGCCTTGGGCTTGAACCAAGCCATCAGCCATGTATCAGTATCTATAGTTTTGTTTAAGCATGGTGCATTTTTAACTTCTAGGAATGGCAGTTGGGGATGGCAGCAGGCAGATGGCAGTTTGAATTGTGAATATTAGCTATTCAGCCTATTCCAAATCCCACTTGGATTTGGATCACCTGTTTGACACAATTTATTTTGCATAGCCTAGCTACAATTTCTAAAAATTCAGTTACAATCTAGTTTGTAGGTGTAGTGTACATTGTTTTATTTCTATGATTCTATCACTTCTATCAATAACATTGTGCCTTGTGTAAAAATTTAATTGGCTTGTAGGTATTTATTTTAATCCAATATATAAATTGTTGCTGAACACAAACTGACAATTACCAATCTGGAAAATGTTGTAGGTTTTATTTTTAAATGTGTCATCTACACAATCACTTTACAAGCGGCTTTCAATAATTGCATGCAAAAAATGTGCCTTTATCCTTGTTTCTAGGCTATTTTGAAGTATAAAGTATAGGATATAGTGTAAACACGGTATATTCCAATTTCCGACATATTAAGGGCGCATCGAGAAATGAAAAACTATAAAGAAAAAACCGTATGCGTTACGTAAGTTCTGTTGCCTTCACATGACTCTCAAAACACTTAACTACGCATCAGCAACAATGAAACGTCACAAAATGTTGCCATATTTATTAAAAAGCCTTTAGAATGGAAACCTACCAAATACTTATATTCCGTCACTTTGTGTGGCAATATTCGACACGTGGTGAGTCATATTGCGTCAGCGCTTCAAATTTAACTGATACGTATTGCCGACATCCACGTGTTCGAATTTCGTTTGCTGTGTGAGCTGTATTGGGATACAACACGGCTTTGAATTAGAACACTAACGAATATTGAACACTACTTAATTACGTTTTAATTAACAGCTATTAGGCTTTTAATTAAGCAAATTTCAATTTTTGTACAAAGCTTTGAACGATCTGTGTGTGTCCAATTCAAGTTGTGTCAGAATGAGTTTTCATGTGTCTAAATCCAACATCTCAACTTAATCATCTATTAATTTATTTACGACTTGAAATCAGCAAGTATACTTAAAGGATTCCTAATATAGTCACAGACGTATTTAAAAGTCTCAAACCATAATATTCTTCCTATAAAAACAGTTATTCACTGTTTGGTAGAGCCATGTCAACTGTCAAATTTGACACATTTTTCAAAATGCATGACGTCACCATTTCAACCATCAACAAACGCATGGAACTAAAACAAAGCTTAATATAAAGGAAAAGCTGGAGAGGTGACGGAATTACCTACGATGTCGGAATATACCGCGTTTACCCTATGATATATGGTATATGCTATATGGTATAATGAACTGGCCAATGGCCATTCCACCTGACACCACCAGTGAACCAGACAAAATAGTCAGTAAATCTGGCAGACTGGCAAATTTCATGTTGCCTGTTTTGCTGTTAAAATGACATTTTCCCAATTCATTCAAGAAAAATAAAGAAAAATTGCCTATTTTTATGGCATAGTATTAAACCATGAATGTTTTTAGAATCAAAATCTCTTCTACTCAAAATTTCAGCCAATATCTTATAAGACTTATTTATGATAATGCTGGTATCCATGTTCCATGAAACTTTACTGGTCTATCTACATGATTCAAAAACGAACTTGGGGATAAGTCTCAGAAAAGTCTGCTGTGACTCCATGTATATGGCTTTGCCTATAATGGGATATTCTGAAATATTCATGTCTTGATTCTGAAATATTGGGCAGAATTTTTTCTAAAATAACATGTGTAAGCTATAATTTTATGATGGAATGGATTTTAAATACCTATTATGAGTGTATGTACTTTTTTCTTATTTTTCATAAAAAAATGGGTGAGAGCAATAAAAATGAATGATACAAAATAAAATGCTACAACCAACAAGCAAGGTCTTTTTGTCTTATTCATGGGTGACTTTTGCCCAATTTGCCAGAATCTCACAAAAAGCACCAACATTTGCTGTAATTTCATGCTTTGGGAAGACAAAGCCTTGTCTAACTTTCAAAGTAAATTGCAAGGATAGATATTTTTCCTGCAATATCTGAGCATCACCAGTGATTTCTGGAAAATTCTACTTCTGTTTTATATTCTGGATTGGGTTTATTGAAGGGAATGGCCACATATACTAAGACTTTTGTTTGTCATTCCTCAAGTAAAACAAGTGCCGTATTGAAAATGACCCTTGATTTTAAATCACCAAGTAACATCAGTATGGCAGTTGGAAATTTAATTAAGTAAGTTGGAAAGACTTCTCTAATAAAATCTCTGTCAGAAATAACTACTAAATTTATAAGTGATAGCTGGTACTGGTAGTAGACTGGGATAGCTGGTAGTCCATTGGCTAATATATTGATGATTGATACAAAAAACAGTGCCTCAAATAGGTCACTAATGGTTGAAATTAAATACATTTTTCATTTGCAGATTATCTAGCTCTTATTTAGTCATATTTTACCATGACACACCTTAGTCTTGGCAGCTGTATAAATTCTGCCATGAAAATGGATGCAAGTGATAGCAGCCGTTTATCATCGCGTTGGCAGCGCAAAGCTCAAGAAAGAGGTGTCTCTCGGCTTCCGTCTAGTGGTGAAAACAGTATGTATTCTGAAACTAGTGCTACTGATGTCTTCATTTTATCTTTTTTATTTAAATTATTTTAAGGTTTTTCTTTTTGGATTTATAGATAAAATATTGACATTATTTGTTATTTTGAATATTTTTCCATATATGTTCAGGTGTGCTATTAATGCCTCAAATATAATTCTAGATCAATGTGATGTTAGGAAAATGTTGAAAACTGATTATTCGAATTTGAAAAAAAAATTGTTATTATTTCATTAAGTACCTACTATGCCAATCTTTTTTTTATGTACAAGGATAGCATGTGGAATGACATATAAACATGTATATTTAAACTAATTATTTTTTTCAATTACATCATAATTTTCTTGTCCAATTATATAATAATTTTTGGACATTTCTGTAAAATTTATGCTGTACAAAATACTTGTCTATTTACCGTCAACCGGGGCTACTCGGGACGGGCGGAGTAACTCAGGACAGTCCTCCGACAAGGCGTAAAACTGCTTTAGTAGCAAAACTAATTGGAATATTGCAAAACTAAATATAGTGGCATAAACATCAACATTTTTCCTATCTATGTAGTATAAAGGAAGTTCAAAAATACTACATTTACTAGCTTTGAAAAATTCCTGAAAAATATGTTGAAAAACAATATTTTGAAAAGTTACTTCTGCTAAGGTCTGTAGTAAAAAAAAATATTTGCTGTATTAAAAAATTTCACTTAGAAAAAAGTGGCAGACTAGTGTCAGCATGAAAACTTTATTTGCAGAATATGCATACCTCAATAAAAAAAATTGTGGCCATTTCCACACGGCAGGGCTACTCGGGACATCCCCAAAAACGCACTTACAGTAGAACCTCAGTTAGCAAAGGCTCCAGTTAAGAACAAAATTGATTAAAAACGAAGAATATTGATTACATTTACCTCGCTCAGTGAAAAAATTTCACATATCGAAAAATTATTGCATCATCGGTCATCACGAAATTGTGCATAGAATGTCATATATAGAATTGTGCACCAGGCATCATAGAATGAAAAGTAATTGACCTAAACTATGATTTATTTCTCCAAAACATGATGGTTGTCACTGAAACATTCGTGTCTGTTTCAGGTATGTTTTTCACGATTTTTTTTATAGTAAATTCACTTAACCCAATTAAAATGGTGTGAAATTACAAGCTGTCCTGTAAGCTTACAGATACAAGAAAAATGCTATAAGGCTGCTGATATGAAGCTTGTAGTGGATAAGGTTGTTGTAAATGCTCAATGGCATGTTCATGGATACGGTAATATTGCATCAATAATATGGTAATATCGCATCAATAATACAGTAATTAATGTATATGGTAATATCATATCAATAAAGGAAAAACGAGTAAAAATCACAGAAAATGTCATTTATTCTACCTCTACATCATCTACAATGAAAGAGGAGGACTTCAGAGTACTGTTAGTAATGGATGAGTACGCTCTGCATGTTTCAAATGTTTTAAAATGAAGTTAGGTATATTCCAAGTGTCCCGAGTAGCCCCTTTTGACAGGGCTACTCGGGACACTCTTTTTTTTTTTGCTTCTGGCACCTTACGAATAGCATATGGAATTTTTTTGGAGAAGCCATGTGATAGCCCTTGCAAAGAGCTTTGAAATGAGCCTAACTTGTTTATGTTCAAAATGTTTCATGGTAAGAAGTTATGAATGAAAAACGTTCAAAATTGTCCCGAGTAGCCCCGGTTGACAGTATCCTTGTGCAAAAATATAAAGTAAAAATAAAAGGCTGAAGTATGTAAGTCACTATGATTACATGCATGTGTGTTATGTAGGTCTGTGCAACCTCTCGGCGGGTCTGAGCATCACGCCTCGCAACAAAACTCCTCTTGCTTCCTCATTCCTCTTGGATGCCTCTTTTGGGTCTACCGCAACTAATACCTCAAAGAGCCCCAGCAGAGGTAAAAAGTTTTTCTTAAATTTCTTAGTTTTACTCAAAAAATTTATGCTTTTACTTGATAGTTTTTACAATTCTTGCTCCACCTCTGCCTATAAATACAGGTTGTAGAGCCCAGAGTCTTCTGTGATATGTGTAATTTATTGAAATTACATTCCCTGGCTTCCCTGAGCATTATTTTCCTTTGCCATGTAATTATTAACCACACTTGGGATATTTTGCTAATTTTAATGATCTTAACCCTTTACGCCCTGAATTTCTGGGATGAAAATCGCAAAATTCACTTTTTCGGTTTTAAGTCTCACTTCAAAGCTGACATTCTGACCTATCCAATGGTACCAAAATCGTCTCTGTACGTTGATTTATGCCTTGACGACAGTTCGTGAAAGGGTTAGGGGTGGGGGAGTTCTTTAACATTTAATATGGGCGAAAATTACTGGTCGGGCACATAAATAGACAACCTGAAGACGCTGCTCTTTAGTTACCCGGCTGCTGTCGTGTGGGATGGTGCTCATGCAGTCGTTCCCACCATCCTTGACTGAATTTCGGCTCCAGTAAAGTCTAGTCTTGCATCTATGTCACCTTGAATGCCTATTTTGAGGGGCTCGGGACTTTGTCGCGCCCTACTGAACATTCACACTTATTGTCACTGCAAACCTATCTCCTCCCAGAGTTTTTAAGCTACAGCAATGAGTAATATACCGTTCGATTCGCAAATAAAAGATCTAGAGTTTGGTCGAAGCTTTTTTTCATTTTCGTTATAGTTTTGAAAATATTTTGAAAAAAGGGGAGGGGAAATTCAAAAGGGGGGGGGGGGAGAAACCAATTTTTTCGAAAAATGCCCACCCCACCCACAAAAATTAGAATTTTGAAAAACAGCAAGGACCAATCGATAGATATGGTCCTTACGCATCGAATGATATGCGTCTCGATGTTGTAGCTCAAAAATCATAGGATGTGATAGATTTCTACAGTACCCCCTTTTTGTCAGTTCTCTAAGAATTTCACGTTTTTTTTTTTACTTTTTAGGAAAAATTCCCACGAACAAAAAAGTCTTAGATTTATCTTTTACATATGTGTACCAAGTTTTAAAGTTATCTGTCAGTAATTAACCGAAATAGAATTTCCATAAGAAATTGGACATTGCCATTGGAAATTGGAAATTTTATTTCGGTTACTTACCGACAGATAACTTTGAAACTTGGTACACATATGTAAAAAATAAATCTAAGACTTTTTTTATTCGTGTGAATTTTTCGAAAAAATGACAGAAAACGTGAAATTGTTGGAAAACCGGAGTTTTTTTCTGTGTGACGAATTCGTCACGCCAGGGCGTAAAGGGTTAATTCTTTGATTGTAGCCAACTAATACTTTTTTATCTGATAAATTTACCTCAAGTTCATCTGCCGCAAATTTAATTTTTCAATTTGAATTGAAAATTTTTCAGGTTTGTTGGGTGTTCCACCCAACAATTTTTCTGGATTGTTGGGTGGAAAGCTTGGGAAGAGTCCCAGTAGGACTCTGAAGTTATCTGTACGTCAAAAAACACCAACCCGCATCACTCCCACTACCCCCGGCAGAATTTCTGAGAACTCTTACGCAGGTGACAGGTCAGTTGCTTATCACTTACAATCAAACTAATTTTTAGCATAATTTTCTTTTGATGTTTTTATGTCAAACTGTAAGTTCTTGCATTGTATTTTTTTTCTTTGGTTATTGCTTAGGCTTAGTTTATTTGCTTTATTTTTTCAGCTGGAGGAATGTGTCATGGAAAATTACCCATAATTTGTTGTTTGGTTTATTTCCTCATTGTGTTTAGCATTCAAATTAATCAGTCTGGTGTGAGTGAGTGGCATAATAGTTCTCTTTTGAATTTTGAAAGATGTCAGTTTATTTTACAGATTTTTTATTTTACAGATTTTTTATTTTACAGATTTTTTATTTTACAGATTTTTTATTTTTTGTTCTAGTAGTATGATGCATCAATATTATTGCTAAAAACTTCCCACCATTCGCAAAAGTGATGGCTGAATAATACACCTCTCTCCAAATTTTCTTGGAGAAAAATGATTAGCATATATTTCATCTTTATTCATATTTTTATTTTGACTTATGTGCACAGATTCATACCGGTAAGACCCAAGGAAATGGAGTTGGAGCGTTCACAGCAGCTGATCATGGAGCAGATGAGGAAAGATGAAGGCTTGATAGTGGAGGAAGAGGAACTTACTCTTCAACAGGTGAGTCAAGATGTGCTGATGCAAGAAATGGAGCTACACTTAACTTGACTCAAGCTACAGGTGAGTCAGGATATGCAAATGAGCTGCATTCAACATTTGCAAGAAGATCATCTAATACAGAAATATGAGCTATATTGAGCTCTGAAGTATAAAAGTAGGCCTGCATGTGGCAAGAAAGGAGCTACACTCAACAACAGAAGGACTGTTTGTAGATCAAGCAGCCCAGTTTTTGCTGCAACCATGCACTGAAGACAAGATTTTAGCTCTTTAAAGATGAGGCAGTTTAAAAATTAATTTCCAGGCCCATTCCCTCGACCTATTGTTAAAGATACAAAGCTCTTAAACAAATATATTCTAGAGTATCTCATCTCATTGTTCCAATGTGAAATGTAGGTAATAAACTATTCATAAATTGCAGTGTAGAATTTTATGTATGGAAAATTTTGATTGCTTATATAATTTATATCCAATTTGTCCATTAGTATCACAGATAGTGTCATGTCTACAGAGAGAGCATCGTGAGCGCCTGGCTGAGAACTTGAATGATGGTCAGCCTCTGGACCAGCGCATTGTCCACTTTAGCACACAGGCTCCTAAGAATAATAGTGAGTGCAAAATTTGGGATGTAGAAGTGTTCTACACTTGATGACCTATTGTATGTTCTAGGTAACTATTGTTTAAATGATTCAATAACCTTGAAAATAACTTGTTAAAGTAGGTGATTATTGTGTGGTGGCCCAAAAATCTAGAAAATTTTATTATTGATTGTTATATCGAATGTTATAGCTATTGTTTAAAAGATTTAATAACCTTGAAAATAACTGTTGTTTAAGTACAACATTATAGTGTTGTGGCCCAAAAAGCTAGAAAACGTTATAATTGATTAGCTTCATCATGAAAGGTGGTGCATGTTTCACCACTTTTTCCTATTAGTATGTTGATACTTGAATAATACATGTCTGATGTTGCCTTGTCACGCACTTGCATTGAAAAGCAACATTCATGACATGCGTTACTTTGGATTAGGGCTTTGATCGGCGCTTATTTATTTTACAGACCCAGTGAACAGTCACAAGGTTTTGTACAGCGCAACTAAGGCATCTGCAAGCAAGACCAACACCACCAGACACATTCCTTCAGAGCCTGAGAGAGTTTTGGATGCACCGGAGTTCATGGATGATTATTGTGAGTTGACCAGGCACTGCATTGGTACCTATGTCATTAGGGAGAATTTAGCGAGTTCCATTAACAACCTTGCAAGAATGCTGCCAGTAATACCATTGATGTGAAATAAGAATAATCTAAACAAAATTTTTTGTGCTCGTCAACATATCTCAGAAGAAGAAACAATAACATATCCCCAGAAATTCGTTATTATCAATACTAGTTTCCTCATGCCTGTATGATTTTTTTCCATCATTGCATAGCTTATCTATGTTGGTGTATGCAGTGCAAAAACACCTTTTGTTGAGTGTCACTTTCACTTATTTTCTAGGTTAATTTCAAAGTTATTGAACAATTGATCAGCTTCTTTGATATCACTTCATTTGAATTAATTACTACTACTTGTATACCATGTTGGAAATTCGGACCGTGATCTTTTTTTAACAAATATTGACTAGAATTTATGAGACTTGGAGTATTTTTAACATGTTTTACATTTTATATTTATAATGATAAAATATTCTTAACCAATATTTTATTAAACACTTGTCTGATTTTTCCTTTTTTACGTCAGATTTGCATTTGGTGGATTGGTCGTGCAACAACCATGTTGTTGTGGCATTGGGTGTCAGTGTTTACGTCTGGAACGCTGGTGACGGTAGCATAGCAAATCTAACTCAAGTCGAGTCACCAGACTACATCTGCTCACTCTCTTGGATTACTGATGGCACGTTACTTTAAATGCTTTGACCATATTCTCAACTTGAGATAATTTTAACATTATTTATACGAGAGTCCTATGTTAATTTAATTTAAATTGATGTAAAGTTTGTGAGATTTGATGCTGGTCAAATGAAACAGAGTATATAACTTTGAGAAATGCGTCCTGCACAACCAGATCGTGAGCTTGTGGCCTGATTACACCCTACAATAAAAGATTTATGCAAATCTGTAGACATGGTGACACACAAAAATTCAAAACTTTGATACAAATTTCGAACATACGCCTTTTATAGCCTGCTTGCACTTTTTATTTGCTGAACTATATTCCATATTAACAATAGGTAGCGTGCTGGCCGTTGGTCTGAGTACGGGCGAGGTTCAGCTGTGGGACGTGGGCCAGGAGAAGCTCATGCGTACGATGGCGGGACACGAGGGGCGCGTGGCGACGCTAGCGTGGAGGGGCGCCGCGCTAATGTCGTCTGGGGCGCGGTCTGGTCAGATCATCCATCACGATGTGAGGGTCGCGCAGCATGCCACTGCTGTCGTCAACGCGCATAACCAGGTCAGTTATTACAGTCGTACAAAACCTTACATTCGTCGTATATTTGATGTTCAGCGTACATTAGATGGACAGGAAAATGCACTTACCATTTGTAGATGGTTGATGGAGGTCACTGCAAGCTTTTGAAATCAACAAGTGGGTTTAAAATAAATGAAAGTGTGAAAACCAAAGTAACTTGAAAATTCAAATCATTTATTGATTAGTTTAGCCACTAGTACGAATTATGATTGTGTATTCACTTAAAGACCTGGTCACAACAGGAGGTGTGTGGCTTGGCCTGGAACTCAGAGGGTCGCCTGCTGGCTTCTGGCGGGAACGACAACATCGTTAATATTTGGGACGCTAGGAACACCACAGCGTTGCACCGCCTCTCCAACCACCAGGCTGCTGTTAAGGTTCTCATATTACTCCTCTATAGTTTCCTGCATTCCTAACTCATTTCCTGTATTCATCACTGCAGTCCCGTATTCCATATCTTCATAAAATGAAATTTTATAATAATAATAATAAATAATACATTTGGTTCAGTTTTCTAGCGCTGAAGGGTCAAAATAATTTCCTGCAGTATGACGGTTATGTGTACTAATATTAAACTCAGAAGCTGCATTCGACCCTAGGACAAATTTTGCCGATTTTTTTTTTTTTGCATTCATTTCGTCTGAATACCTCTAATTACGTATTAAGGTTGATCTTTACGTCAACTTTGACTGATTACGTAGGACTACACATCAAAACCGTTTTTTATTTCAATAAATGTTGCTAACTTGAATAGTATTTATTAAGAGTACAGTATACATGGCAGGTCAAATGGAGATGGTTATCTGAGGAGATATATCTTCAGGAGAAAGCGACATACCACTTAGGGTAAAAAAATTGATTGTTTTCAATGAACTCCGGTTCGATGAAAACAACAACAAATTTCTGGACTGTCTATGGATAGAAAAAACTGCTAAAAGAAAGCTTTGAGCAGTGTCATAAAACTGTTACCTAGATGAAGGATTTAGTGTATTTTTTCCTTTAAAAGTTAAAGATGCCCCGCAACAACTACATTAGTGGTGTGAATTAGTGCGGCCTTGGCTGCTGGACTATTTGATAAGAAATTGTCTTTATTGAAGTAGCGAATCAGCACGAAGTTAAAAACTATCCATCTGTAGCATGATTTTTATATGTACGGATTTTTTCAAGTGTAGATCTTTATATTCCGTTCCTGTTGTTTTCCTCAGGCGGTTGCATGGTGCCCCTGGCAGAGCAGTGTGTTGGGCACTGGAGGAGGCACAGCCGACCGTACGATCCGCATTTGGAATGCAAACTCCGGAACCTGCATTAAAGATGTGCTCACCAACTCGCAGGTTGATATTTCTTGGCCACTTCAATGTGCTGTTATCTTAGATTTTGAGTGTTCTTGCTGCATAAGCCTTGCCTTATTATCTGGAGGTCATTATCTTTTTTATAGTTTTTGGCGGATAGATGCAACTGCATAAGTTTAATCAGGCAATGATGTTTGTTCCAACGGTACAAGCGCCGTCTTAAATTTTTATGTGAATATAAAATCATGTGAGATCACTAGAGCAAATTTGTATTTTACAACACTTCTCTTTAACTTCACTTCTTGTCTGTTTGTCTGTCTGTCTGCTACAAATCTTGTAATCAAAATTAAATACACTTCTACTTATCTTATCGATCTGAAATTTTGCACACTTGTGTAAAGTTGGAGACAATGCATGAATCAAATGTCAAAATAAATGATTTTAAAAATTTATTTTTTTTTTCAATATTAAAAAAACTGAAAAAATAATTTTGTCAGCTACAAATCTTATAACTGATATTTGACACACTTTTACCTGTCTAATTGATCTGAAATTTTGCACACTTGTGTGAAATCAGAGGCAATGCATGAATCAATTAACAGAATAAATAATTTTGGAATGATTTATATATTAAAAAATTTATATATATTAAAAAAATTGAAAAGTAAATTTTTTTAATTTTCGAAAATTAGATGAGTAATTCATTGTACATCTGTAAGATTGGAGATACTGGATTCTTTGGAAGTGTTGTCTTTAAAAAGTAATTTTTAAATGTATATTATTTCAGGTATCGTCGCTTGTTTGGAACGCCTCGTACAAGGAGTTGATCACAGGACATGGCTTCAGTCACCACCAGCTCACTATATGGAAGTATCCAACGTTTACCAAAGTCGCCGACCTAACTGGTCAGTGCCAAGTTTACTTAGAACTTTTACCGAAGTAAAAGTTTTACAAGTAAGTTTTTTTTACTTTGATTATGACCTTCAGCCGCCCCGACGTCGAGCGCCTTGTATCAAAGGGTCTCGGCTGCGAGCTTTCGTGGCTCTGAAGGCATTACTCCTTGCACTCTCCAGTTATTTTCCTTATCGGTAAAATGCTTCCAGTGGAAACGAGTTTCTTCCATTGTGTTTATCTGTCCCTTGTTCGTTCTTCATTGCTATTAGATAATCTCCTTTATGCCAGCTTCAGCGCGTTAGATGTACAAGACCTCCTGTCTTCTGCAGTGTTTATTTTATTCAATGATTGCATAACGCAGCACCGTTTTGCGACTGGAGTCGCTTGGTCTGTCAGAACCTCACGCAATCTGTTGATATATTGTGGGATCTTAATGCTCATAAACTACACTGATAGTTATAAATAAAATTTATTCGTTGGTGTTGTATTTCAGTGAAGTAATTTCTTAGCGTAATCTTACAACCTAATTGTTCCAAGAATTAAGAATTTGAATTAGTTCAAACAACAAACACTAAGAAGCTCGAAGATTCCCTATCAATTATTAAATTTATTATTGGCTAATGGCTATGGATGAATTTCCATTTGCTCGGCTTTCCGAATAGAGAGTAAAACTATTGCATGGCTGGGCAAGAAGATCTTTCCATAAATAAGTCACTCATGTTGCAGGGTTGCGACTTTGTTTGACTAATGTCTATGCGTTTTCCCTGTGCAGTTCCAATTCGTAGGAGTGACAATAATGTACCTAGTTTAAATTGTCTCTTTTTAGCGCATTTTCTCATTTATGGAAAAAATGCACTATTGTGCTCGCCATGTCCGTCTGTCTGTCTGTCCGTCCGTCCGTCCGTCTGTCCGTGACCTCAAGTTTTCGTCGACGAGAAAATGCGCTCTCTGTCACTCACTGCAGTGAGTACTGAGTTATATTTTTTTAATTTTCTTCATCCTAGTAGCAAATGGATTCAATTCTTAATGAGCATTACTATATCATTTATTTCCTCAGCTAATATTTGTCAATTTACAGGCCACACAGGACGCGTTCTGGAGCTTGTGGCATCTCCTGACGGTCAAATGGTAGCCAGCGCGGCGGCTGATGAGACCATCAGGCTGTGGAAGTGCTGGCCAACGCAGGTCAAGGACAAAAAACCCGGCAGGTCTCTGGCACCAGTCTCGTCTCTTGCCAAGTCCATCCGATAGAGCATTTTCGAGCTGTACTCGAATTAACTTCGTTTTTGTTCACATCTTCGTTCATTAGTGTAGTTCCCTCTATTCATAGGACTGTTCGAAGCACCAGCTTTTCCTTACCATTTTAAGAAACCAGCTAACTTTTACCAACTCAATTTTTCGTTGGAATGTAAGAATGGTGGCGTTTTCTCAACATTTTTTTTTTAATTCCCAGCTGCAAATGCTGCCGTTTTCCTTGACATGGACGATCGTCTGTTTCATAGGTTACAACGGGAAAATGCATTTTTAACCAACGTTATTGTGATCATTCCTCATGGGTTGAAAAAATCGAATGGAATTTTTCCCTTATCACGTGCACAATATTTTGAAGACTTTCATTCAGTTGTGCACTTTTTCATCTTTTACGTCTTCTGAAACTTAGATCTAATTCTTAGTATCGAAACTAACTTGATATTTCAAGGCTTATTGACGCACCTGCGCAAGGTTAAAGGGATATTTCTGACCATGCCAGGGCGTTCGTACATTTCACTGGGTATTAACAATGTAATTCTTTGGATTGAATTAACGATTACTTTCATTATATGTGCCGTGAATAAATTTGCCTACAGCTTTATTCTTGCTTCTAGTGTAATTGATAAGATGGAACTGCAGAAATGCATCATTTGTATCTGAAAGTCAAATATATGTGGTGTTGTCTACTAATTAAGTGAATGCTATTTGGACGGTCTAGATGTTCATTTACAGTTCACCGCTTCATGCTCGCTGAATGGCCGTTTTGCTCAGGCTGAAGTCTTAATTTTAAACAGTATATAATAGTTTGGTTATACTTGCACTAACTTCGCAGTTAAATTCTGACCGTGCTACAACGACTGCCGATATATTTTTTGCGCTTTTCCAACGCTCGTTTGTGTCTGCTGACTGCGAGTTCAATGTGAATGTAAATAAACTTTATACACACAGTATGTGCGCCTTGATTATACTAAGAGTCTAAGACTAGTAATGATCAAGTTGATGACAATTGCCCAGTTTTTTATATCGTGAGGAATGCGTGCGCGTGCGATAAAACATGTTAACCTACAAGAAATAATCTGGGTTCTCTTAATTAAAGGATGATGTCCTCAAATATTATCTACGTTGGGCGACAATGCTGTTTTAATGCCCAAGCCTAAGGTACGAGTTGTCCGCCAAGTTATTACCATATTTTGGTAAGAATATATTTCCATTTAATAATCTCGCTCAACGTTGTGGTTTCAGAAACCAATTTTCTTATGTTGAAAGCATGCATTCGATCGTAATTGTGGTAACGGCCAGGAAGTAAAATATCGCATTCAATTGTTTCGTTTACTGCCATCATAAAATAAAATTGCAAGAAGGAAGTGAAAGACAATTTAACGGATTTAGAGATCAGGAAATAAGGAACTAAATTGGACTCCTCTCGTGAGCGATCCATTGAGAATTATCAAGTGAGAAAAATTACATGGGTGTTATCATTACACCCATTCGACAACCTGCGTTTTTCTCTGTTACATCAAATGTCCACTTGCCTACATTTTAGCAACATCTGTAGTAATATTATTGCAACTACTGATTACTTCGTATCATATTGAAATGTAGGCGAGTCAATAGCATTATACTCGTTGCATGGATATTATACAATTTGCTGTCAATAACTCGGCATAATCGAGGTTGAAATAGCAACTGATGAATGCTTCACTGCATACTAGCTCAACAGGATCCACGCTTAGTATACAGTGGGGGGAAATAAATATTCGTACACTTGAAAAATCGTATTTTAATGTACGTAAGTACACAAACTTAGCAGGAAAAGTGATTTAAATTATGTATAGAGACGCATAGTATTCAAAAATACTATCAAAAGAAATTAAATCTCAATGCAACAATAAATCACTTTTCCTGTTAAGTTTGTGTACTTACATACATTAAAATACGATTTTTCAAGTGTACGAATATTTATTTCCCCCCACTGTATATAAGGCTCTATCTGAACTACTCGCGCGCCCTCTTAACTGCAAGAACTTGTGTCGCCTGAAATGCTGCCAAGTCTACCAATATCTTAATATTTCACACCCCATTGTCTAACAAATGTTCTTTCTAATCATAGATATTGCGCTGTCATCAGATTGAATATTAACGAGTGACCTATTGTAGGCTATTGATATGGTAATTCCTCATCATATAAACGGCCTAACACGCGCATTTCACAAATAAGTGTTAGGAATCTCACCAAAATACCTAAAGAAATTAATCCGTAGACCAATATAGACTCGTGTATCTCAATTACCTCCTAATTCCTCACTAAAACTTGAAAATGGAGGTGTCGAACAACCTTGCTCATTCTGAGACTGCCATAACACAAACGTATGGTTTGCATTTAGAAGCTAAAACGAATGACCTAGTATCAATTGCACAAGTTTTTTAGAGAACTAAAGACGTTTTGAAAATATCCTAGACATTTATTACTATGTAAAACAAAATCAGCAATTGGTCGCACAATTCACAGGTGAGCGATTGTCTTAAGATTGCGCAGCAATCCCACACATTCAGGACGGCACAAGCTGGACAGTAAATCTAAATCCCATGTGTCACTTGCATTCTTCTTCTCTATTATGTGAAGCGAACGAAGATTTGGAAACCTTAAACTTTAAATGAAGCAGTCTATGTTTCTCAGTACATTTATCGAAAGCCGCGCGTCACACAAGTTAGGTTCTAAATGCAGTCATACATGATTGCATTTAGTTATTTATCACTTCTAAGTGTAATAGAATGACTGGACTTGGTTGGATGAAGGGTTAGCTACACTTTAAGGCGTACAATGGAGCATCTACCCATTGCATCTACGACAGTACCGCAATATCAACAACAAATGTGCTGAGAAACTGCACACAGCTGAACGTTAAATAATTTTGTAGATGCAGCAGCAGACTTCAAATTCTTCCTATTGCTCGGGGTAAAGAAGGAGGTCGCCTCATGATGACAAAACATTAAACTCATCGCGATCATAAGGGATCCTAAATTTAATCCTAAACTCATCGAGATCATCCTAAATTAAAATTTACGCGTGTAATTCTTCGATCTCTAATTACCACTATGAAAAACATTTTAAAAAATTTTAACAAAAGCCAAATCAACATTTCTTGGACTTATGCTAGAAGTATTTGAAAGCACACCACTATAATGTGAAACTGCATATATGATACGAACGTCTGGTACGAGCGTTGTGTTGTAGATATGATGACGTACAAATCACTGCATGTCACGGCAGAGACACACAGCACTGGTGTATCACAGTGAGAACAAAATACGAATTCTACAACAATTTTTGAGACAGCTGATTTGACTCTAGTTGAGAAAAATTGCAAAAACTGACTAAATCACATCGTTTAATAAAGATATGGAAATGAATATTAATCCATGATTCCCAGTTCCTTATCTGTAGTCCATAGGATAAAAACACGTTGACTTCCTGCAGTTCCCTTCTTCGCCACAAAATATTAGCTCTGAACACATGTTAATGGTTACATAATTCTGACACATTGAAACTCTACATTGTATTGACCATGCACGACGCGTGTAAGTTTCTAATTTTCTGACTGAAAATAGAACATTAGCAGAATGTCTCATTAAAGAACATGTTCAAATCCAGTAAAATAAAATTATTTAAGAAGAGATGGAACTGGAAGAGACATGGATATCAACAAAGCAGAGTCATTATTCGATGAATTAAGGGACATTAGAGAAATTAAGGCACTTGATACTCAAACAGAAAGCTTTTCCTATACCAAATTAAAGTTGAAAAACTACGAAACGTTCGACTAGGTTTTTATAATTTCAGTTCATATACATTCATTTGGACAACGCAACTAACAATAAACATAAATAAAAGGAAGAAAAGGAACTTAACAGTTAATAGGCGGCAGAGGACATAAATAGTAACGAAATAATAAGTATAAAGTATTAACCTTAAATAACTCAAGCTCTAAATATTATAATGAACATGGTGCTTTCTCCTGAAGATTTCAACGCGGCCAACATTTCCAAGCTATATTTTACAAGAATAAAATTGCGGTGGCGATTCGAGATATAATAGCGTTTCTAGAAAGACCAAAAACAAGCTAGTATGGTGTAAAATTAATCTTAAACATTTTAAATAATCATAAAATTTTCACCGCAGTTGCAGTTTGAAACTTCTAATTCAGAAAGCAGCAATAGCTCTTAGCTGAATATTAGAATTAAAGCTTTAAACTTAAGCAGCAGCAATAATGCTGGACTCAAGCCAAACAACGTCAACATCATTGCAAGCGGCATCTCTCATTAAACGATAGGCACTTGACAAAGCAAACAAACGAGCAAGAACACATTCGTATACATGAAAAGTGCAGCTACGAATATTAGTTACTGGTAAAATTCTCCCAGATGCAAAGATGTAAACTAAGCCAACGGTTATTATGAAACTAAGCCAACGGAACAGGAAAACCCAACGGTTTTATTTCATTATTATGAACACATGTAAATCATTTATTGGGAACCTATAACCAAGCAGCTTTAATGTACAAATTTCACCGATTAAAGGCTGAATATCGGACGCTACCTCTCCTGACTTGGGCCAGCCAAGATTCTTCTTTTTCCCATGCAATTGACGAGTGCTATCATGGATATTGTAGAAAACAAATTCCTTGTTGCTCGATGAAATATTTCTTAACTAATCACTTTTAAATTAAATTATGCCTCTTATTTAGGTTGGAAGGCATTTTTTTCTACAAGATTAGTGGCCTTTTTCGAATTTCAAACCCACTTAAATATCAAGATTTACAAATTGGAAACGGCCTAAATAAATGAGCAAGATTGAGAAGAAACCAGGTAAAAATTTCACATTCAAGCCTATGCAGGTAAGTTCAATATGACCGGAGTAATAAAAGTGCTTGCAGTGTCATGCCTCAGGAATGTGAATCCTTTGCATACAATTACTTAAAATATATTTCAGTGCTTAAAACTCATGGCATATATACGATACATCTTTATCAAGCACCAGTGTTGATGCCAATTGCAATATTCTGAGAAATTTTATTGCCAGTGAAATTGGAACATTGCAATTATAAAATCTATCTACATAAGGTCCTGATACTCAAAATCCATGATCCATGGTTCAGGCTACTACTAACAATAAACTAGGCATCAACACAAGACGTGAAAGAAAGTCTGCGTTACAGAGACCCTTGACGCAAAAGCATTATGGTTGTTAACGTTCCAAATAAATTAATCAAAAGTAACAATAAGGATAAAATCACTGAATTACATTTTGGTCATCATTAATTTGAGTATTCACAAGTATCAGAGAGCAAATAATTATTTTGAAAGCAAAACGGGCACTTCATTCTGCCAATGAGGTAACCTAATAAATATAGCATATTTATTATACAAATAAATGAACCATAATAATAGATAAAAGCAAACCTTAAAAGTCACATCAGTGGCTGAAGATATAAAATGCAACAGCTGAACACGGAAGAAGTTAGTCTTGGAGTGCTGTCATAAATAAGTTAACCCCAGCCTCTTGTAACAACATCAAAATGAAACTAATTCAGGTATCATTATAATAAATACAAAATCGGGACCCTAACACCAACGACCAATTTCTATCTTAATTTCTTAGCGTGATTGTTACTGAACACAAAGTTGTGTGCACTCTACAAAATACAAATATATCTTTCCACCTGTATCAAAACAGAAATATCACCATACTCACACATTGAAAACAATTCAAACAGCTTAAATAAAAACACTTTGAATTATGAAGTTGATTATTACTGATAAAATTATACTTACTAATGAAATATGCGGCATTAGATTACATTTTTAACGACCTAACAAAACCTAAAACACATTTATTCCAGAACAATTTTCCCACGTGCATAGGAGCAAGCCACACTAAGTCACTAACCTTAGTGAGAGCATTTTCCGTGAACATTTTTTTTCTTTTAATTGAATACTATTGCTAATTATAGACAGGAAAGATTCAAATGGATATATCTTTAAAAGAGCAGGAGGCTCCATTGAATATCATGAAACGAGAGAAAGAGAGACCTAGGTATACATTTATCTATTTGAGCTATCACATTAAACAACAATAGAGCATCCAACATTAATAATAAGTGTAAGCATCGTAAAGAAAAAACGGTAATATGCTTCACCATAAACATGGAGTAAATGAAAAAAAAATGAAGAGATGGAACTTTAGTAATTTGATCATTTAAGGTCAGACAAAAGTTTTACAGCACTAAATGGTATTCGTTATTTAACCCCTAAATTTTATCTAAAATAGCCGAGAATTAGAGTCATTGATTTCCAAAATGACCATCATTAATAACCCCTGCCGTTATGAAAGCAGTAACATTAACTGAGAAAAAACTAACTTATGCAAGCAGTATATATATCTGATGTTAGCAGTATACCATTAACTGATGTAAGCAGTAAAATTAACTGACACAAGCTATACCATTAATTGAAGTACGCGTTATCGTTGACTGGCGCAAACTGCACAGCTACTGATGAAAGCTTTACCATTATCTGACGCCAGAAATAAGTTGCACTGACGCCAGTTCGGAAAATATTACATTCGTCATTTCTACACGGAAAAAGTCATCAATAACATCCCTCCCGCCAGTCCGGGGCTCGCTGAGGAGGTTTATGCACCAGCTGGGGGGCAGGGAGGGCAGCGGCGGTGGGGGTGACACGAGGGGCACGACCCCCACTCCTGACGGGGGTGCGAGCAGGACTGGCTCGGTGGAGGGGGGAAGACGTGGCGGGGCTGCCCCCTGAAGGGCGAGGTATGCCTGCCAGGCGGCTGCGGTCACTGCGCACCACGCCCCGTACCTATAATATTGCAGAATTATAATAAAAAGTTAACAAATAAAGGCTGAATAATCAATGAAATTTCTTCAAAAACAAATTATAAAATAATAATCTGCAAGATTGCACGTAGCAGATAACAATATTGATTATGAACACCTATTACGAGATAAAGTTTTTAAAGGTTTTTTAATAAACAATAATAAGTAATTTTCTTATCACACATAAAAGGTAATCAACAACAGTGGATTTAAAACCAGCAATTAACTTAAACCTAATGCAACTTACTTCTAACATTAGTGAAATAAATGACCGTTTGAAAATTTGTTTAATGAGCATTCACAAATCCCACCTGAGGAGCAGCTAGTCTGGAGGGAGTTTGCCGAGCAGGATGAGGTGGCTCTCTAGCAGGAGATCCTCCTCTAGATCCTACTGGAGACCCATACTGAGCAGCGTAGGAGTTAGGTAATCGGAGACCATTGGTGCCACCATTGGTAGCATTAAGGCTAGAGTTGCTAGTGTAGGGGCTGATGGGTGGAGACAGACCAGTCCAAGCATCACTGGGTCTACGAGGACTACAATGTCGGTATGCTGGAGTGCCAAGCAAGTCTTCTTGAGAGCTTCCAGCTGAAGTTCTACCACTGCGGGGTGCAGGTAATCTTGACATTTTGCTACGTGCTGAAGCAAGCTTTACATTCTCCTCATGGTCTCTAGTGCGAGAGTCTGGTAACTTCAAACTTTCTTCTTGCAATCTAGCTAAAGCATTAACATCTTCTACATCAGCCATTTTGCAATAGCTCCCTTCTGAAGCACTGCTCAGGTGCTCATCTTCTTCTGAACCAAGAGACCCAGTAGATAGAGCAGAAGAACTGCCATGATTGCTGGTTTTCTGTTGTAGCTGGTTATGGAGGGCTGTATTCCGAAAATTGTGACTGTCATATCGAAGGGGAGTGTTAATTTCATAAGGTATCTTGTTGTCATATGCATCTCCATTGATTTCAATTCTGTTAGGATTCTTGGCATAATTTTCCCTGTTGATATCTCTGACTAGGGAAAACTTCTCGTCAGCTATTTCTTCATTTATTTCAGGCTGGGGAATCTTTTTCTTCCGTTGCCTCACAAAAGTCCGAGTATCAATTTCACCTCTATGAGGAGGCGAGTCAGGTGTAACAACAGCAGATGTGTTGGCACTAGAAGATGAGAGATCAGGTGTTTGCCTGGGCGTATCATTGGGGGTGTGCTTGGGTGTATGTTTAGGTGTATCATAAGGTGTGTGTTGAGGTGTTGCTCGAGGAGTGTTGGCTATTTCATCCAATTTGTGTAGTAGGGAACGCCGCACTGTGAACAGCGATGGATCATCCAGGTCCTTTCTTAGCCATTGTTCTGAGTTTGCATCAGTTCTTGGTGATGCAAACAACCTGAAATTTTTTTTATTCATTAGAGATAACATATGGATATAAGTCACAGATAATTTTTTACTAATAATATTTAATACCACACATTTAAAAGTACACGTACAATAAAATCAGAAAATAATGCTGTAATAATTCTGAAAATGTTCAAAGATTAATTTTATCTTGTGTTTATTGAAATATGGCATGTTTTTGTAATAAATACTGATTTTTAAGTGATTATTTTCAAAATTGATTAATGATATTAAACATGTCTATAGTTGCATAGTGCAATATGGCTTAGAGGCACATTCTGCATATTCTGGAGCAAGCCTAGAGGCAGATTGGATTTTAGAAGCATGCAAAACTGTTCTGCTAGTTTATGTCCTGAAATTCACGTTGAACTTTCAAGGAATCTCAAATACCCAAATTTAGCAAGATTCAGAAATATATTCAAATGTTTTTAGAAGTTAAAACAAATAAATATTTTTCATGATATTTTCCCAGAACTTAGGCCCGATATATATATAATTCATTTGAATTTTTAGCCTGACCTGACAGGCTCATGCAAATGAAAATTTTCAGCTTTTATATGCATTTAAATTAAATAAATATTCATACATATATTCATAAATATAATTTTTTACATAAAATATAATTCAAAATAACTTCTCAATTCATTAAATTAAATATTTAAATAGAAAATTAAACAGATGATCCATTCCATGTTAAGTACTAAAGTAGGCCTATTAACAGATAAAACAATTTACCAGGTTTCTTCATCTGATGTCAAATTGCAGTCATCAGCATTGACAGAAGGAAGGCTGTCAGTAGAAGCTTCACTGTCGGACACTCCTGCAGTGGCCATCTTCTTGTATAAAATTTTTTACAATCTCACTCAAATCCTCAAGGCTCTACTGCTCAAGCAGCCTAGCAGAACAGGAAGACCCACTCAAAAGCAAAATGTTCCAACTGCCTCTGAAATATATGTTACTACTACTATGAGGCTGAGATTGTCCATAGATTTAAATAATTCTTACACATTTTTTTCATTATACATGCAAATACATGATTAAAAAAAAGTCATAAAAAATTATGTAGACCTAGGGCAAGCCTCCGGCAAGGTAGGTAGATGACTCAGAGTCAGGCTGTCAGATTTGTGGTGGCTTGCATTAGTTCTGGACTGCGTAGACTCTTCTTACGGAATTATCCTTAACAGGAAGATCAAACACAGATATACGAGAGATACTTAATTAACAAATACAAAAACATTCTACATACTAGCTTGTTAATAAGGTTCGGGAATAATCGGGATCACACCGTACGGCGTACAAAAGTAAAGTGATAACATAGCGTTAACGCTCGCAGTTGCAACCCGATTTTCCGTGTTTTGACAATAGCGATTTCTCCTCAACTTCAGCAGGAAGATTGCGATAGTTCATGTCATTAAATCCTTACTCGGCTAAAAATAAGTTAACAAAATGAAAAATATCTGGGCTAATATCACTCACTACAATGGTGCCTTGCTTACATTTATATTGTTGTATTCGAAGAACTTAATGAATATTGTCAAGTGGAACGTGGCAAAAGGTATATAAAATCGGAACTGGCAATTCAGAGTTTTCAGACCACTTCGACAGAAGTGCGTGAGCGTTAATGTGAGCCATACCGGATCGGGATTCTTGTTCATTCAAACCGGGACCAATAATTAGGAAATTATTGGTTGCGAATAATGAATTAACGAAGATTATAAAAGTAAATACACACATATAAATGCGAATAGCGCTGTGGCGAGGATTCTTTTCTCATTTTTACTCACGAATATTTTCAATTAAAACGGTAGAATGGGCGATTTCAGCCGCATCAACACGCCTTTTTCCATCAATTCGTAACCAATAATTCTGAAATAATTTACTCGGCTTCTATGTAAATAGCGCAGAGGCGAGAATATTTTAATTAATATTTCTTACTAGTTTTCAATTAAGTTAGCTTATGTTCCATCCGTTTTAATTGAAAATGGGCATTAAAAGCTTTATGATATTAAACGTGTCAAAAGCGGAATTCAAGAAAAATTTATCATTAACGACACAAAAAAAATTAATTACTTTAAAATGTACTTTTTATGAACAATTTATTGCTATATATACTCCTATGCATTGAATCTTTCTGTACTAACTGCAGCTTGGTCATTACTTTCGTTAATGACCCAGTAACTTTAGTTAAGCAACAACAAATTTTGTGCTATTTTTTACCGTCTAACATAGCAAGTCGACAGCATCACTCCATTAATCAGCGTCAAATGGGCAGGGTAGCCCAGTGGTTACATTTCAGAGTACCAGAATTGGCGCAGAGAGGCACGGGTTCGATCCCTCTGTGCGCTAGTTAGAATTGGCGAGGAGGCCAGACGGGTAAGCAAAGCAGAATTGGAACAACGAGCTGCGAGTTCGAGACCGCAACAAGCTGTGAATGTTCTGCTAAGTTAGGAATCTGCGACAGGCCTATGGCCTAATATACGCTGAAACCGCTTCATTACCACGTTTTTCTTTGCTCGCTTTCGTGTCCTTCTGTCTGTGATGATCAAATCTTGCAATCGATATTTCACCAACTTTCCCGTTAGCTAGCGCTCTGAAACTTTTAATAAAGCTCAGCTCACGATGACAATACAATAATCAATAATTTGTTGCACGTTTCCAGGCGTATTTATTCAATGAAATGTAATAAATACGGGATGTAATGTAAAGATAAATACGGGAACAACAATGTATCCCCTCGAATACAATTTTCTACAGAACTTCGAAAAGAATTTTCTTTCGTGCATACAAAAAACGTGGGTCGGGCAGATTTATGATTAAAGCGAAAAGCACACAACACACGAATTTTGGAAATTTGATGGTGAACGTACAACCCGACCCACGTTTTTTGGGGCGAGCCATAATTTATTTTCTACTTTTTAGTCCACAAGAAAAACGTGTTTTTTTAAAGTTTTTTTTTAGTATTTTATTATATTATTAAATTATATTACGCCACGTCTGAAAACAATCAGATCCAGCGGTCGCTGTCATTGGTCAGATCAGTGACCTGAACTTCCCGGAATATTTCATGTAATTAGCATAGTATAGTATCTTCGGCATTGAAGAATAGGCCCCTGTCTCCAATTCTTGTATTTTTCTTGAATAGACAGGCCTTTTGATCAAGTCTTTTCAACGGACAGTAGGTTTAAAATCGTTTCTAGATTTCAGTTGTTCCGTAGGATACGAGGCATTTCAAGACTAAACATATGCTCCTGCATGGCCGTGTCTAGTCTGTTCTTGAACGCGTTCATACTCGGAGCGTCAACAATATCTTCAGGGAGGCGGTTCTACATGTCAGTGACTCGAAGCGAGAAGAAGTGTTGTCGCATGGATGAGTTGCACCGCAGTTTTTTAGTTTATAGCTGTGGCCCCTGATTTTGCTTCAAATTCTAGGCGACGATAACGGAGACTGGGAAGCTTCATAATCTTCAATCTTTCTTCATAAGACTTGCCTTTTAAGCTAGGAATTATCCTTGTTGCTCGTCGTTGAACACTCTCTACTAAATTTTTGTCCTTTTTCAAGTCTCGGTGACCACACCACGTTTCCAAACTCTAGGTTCGGGCTCACGACAGAGGTGAACAACAGCTTCATCATTTCTACATCTAGGTACTCGTAGGAGCGTCTGATCAGCCCAAGCAGGTCATTGGATTTATTAACGTGCGTTTCAATATGCCTAGAAAATTTTAGCTCCTCGTCAACACAAACTCCAAGATCTTTTTCCACGCAAGACTTCTCCATCATAACTCTCTCGTTGCAACCATGTCTTTTCATACTGTAATCTTGCTGTTCATTATTCTTCCCGAAGTGAAGTACTTTACACTTGTCAGCATTGAAACGCAGCTGTCACGCATCAGCCCAGTCACCTAAACGATCAAGATAATTTTGCAGTTGCATTTTATTTGACGCATCCTTAACTGTATTGTCAAAGTTATGAGGGACACTGTTCGGGTGTGCCGCTATCAAAGTTGGGAATAACTCTGTCAGAACTCTGGTTCTGTCTCTGTCAGATCTAGAGGATCTGGTAATCGATTGAAGAAGAACCTGAGGGGTTTTGGTTCGTTATAATTGTCAGAATAACATATTAAATATTCATTGGCCAGGGAAGGATAATAACAAGACGTGTATCTAAGCGTAAGTATTGAAGATAGGTTCACGGGATACAGTAGATAGAAGTTACAGGATCAATGCACAGTATGTGCAATAATTTTAGAGATAGAGTATTACGACACTGCGTGTTGGTTATGAGTGCCGGAGTAAGACGACGTGAGCTCGTCTAGAGTTTGCAGGCTCTAAGTCTACGATAACTGACTAGGACTGAGACTCTGCTAAGACTGACTGGCAGTACGCTCTCCGAGCTTATATACGCGGTGACCCGCGAATAGCGACGTCACTGAAGGTGACGTAATAGTCACTAATGACATCATGACCTGACAGTATTATAAACTTTTGTGTCATATGCATACATGGAGCAAACGCTTGACACTATTTTTGGTAGATCGTTTATAAAGGCAACAAACAAAACAGGCCCAAGAAAGCTTCTTTGCGGTACGCCACTGCGCTCCCCCTTAATCATATATGTAAGTACAGCCTCCGTAAAAGTGAAGAAGAATTTCGTGGTTTTGATAGTCTTATGAGCAAAAATTTCAAAGTGATTAGGGATGGACCGACAAGATTTATTAAATTGCAGTGATGTGTTACAAAGACTTCTAAGTAATAATGTCACTAGATTGCTTAAATCGCAGATTCACTAGAAATTTAAAAGCGAAGAAAACACCACAAAAATTCAGCATATCGCTATTGAAAACGTTTCGGAGACCAGCTCCGTCATCAGTTCGATAAATCTGGAACACAAATAAAGTCAGAAAATTAACAAAGTTTGGAGTAAAAAAAACACAGAAGTTAAAAACTTGCATTTACAGACAATGGGCAGAATAATAAAGTAAGTACCTATCTATTCACAATTTTTAATGGATAAGAACTATAGGTAGCATTTAAACTAGGCTTCTCTTCAAAAATATACAATGAGTCCAAAATACGCAGACCGGAAGCACCAGACTATAAGCCAAAACCTTAAAGTCAGTGTTGGACACTGGAATGTTGCACTGTTCGGCGTGATTGCACACAGCCGAATGAGGAGGGCGCGATAGTAACTGCCCAGTCATATAACTCCTCCCTCTCTCCCTCTATGCTCAGCGACCCTAGTGTAAAAGTTGCGTGCCGTCATTCCAACGTACGCAGATGAACATCGTGCACAACTAAATATATAAACTGGGGACGATCGCATGTGAGAAGGGACGATATCTTTGTACCTAAAAACGAACCTAATTTGAAATTATTCACCAGTAAGATACGAAGATTAATGTCTGGAAAGTATTTCATTAACAAATCTTTTAATTCTCTTGACATAGCTTCGGACGCTTTATACATAACTTTCATAACTTTAGTTTTTGTTTTTTTATATTCAAGTTAAACGGGCTTCAAACACTATTACACCGCGGCTTTCGTATTTCCTCGACTTTTGTGACGTCGCTCTGAGACGCTCGTCAGCTTCAAACCACACCCTTCAGCCACATCATCTACACCCGGCAGAACTTTCTCATAGTCCACCTTAAACGACACTCCGTTTTCTTTGGGTTAAACAAGCCCCGCTTGGGTCGCTCCGCAAACATCCAAGCTCCAGTCTGCCATGCAGTGAGATAGCGCAAACACCCGTGCTGATCTTACCCGGACCGACGTGAATTTTCTTCCAGTGATAAGTAACCTTAATTGCTTTCCCTCTTACCTATATGAATTATGTGCAACCGCAGACTGATAAAATGTTGTAATCATTCGTGACGTCCTTAATAACATAAAAAACCTAAGAAATTTCTGAAGCGCTTCTCGCTAAAAGCCAAGATGGCGACTACAGCGTTGTCAGACATGGCGGACCAGGGACAACCTTTCATTTCGAGTGCCTTTGTAAATTTCTGAAGCGCTTCTCGCTAAAAGCCAAGATGGCGACTATAGCGTGGTCAGACATGGCGGACCAGGGACAACCTTTCATTTCGAGTGCCTTTGCAGTAATTCCTAATTATTTCAGCGGTGTAGTAGATTTAAGGTGTAGTTATGACTATTTATATAGCCTAAGCTGCTGTAATCATTCGTGACGTCCCTAATAACGTAAAAAGCTAAGAAATTTCTGAAGCGCTTCTCGCTAAAAGCCAAGATGGCGACTATAGCATCGTTAAACATGGCGGATTCCCCACACGTATCTTGAACCTACTTTAAGTATCTAGTATAGACATAACTAGCATTATTTGGCTACCTAGATCTATGCGCTTACCTTAACCGATACCTTGCAGAAACCTGACGAGTCATAACACGTGGTAAAGATCGCCTGACAAGATCGTCCGAATACGTCACCTCGCCTCCCCCTGCCTAAAATTAATAGTAAGCGGACCACACGATATTGCTGATCTTAAAATGTACTTTCCTTAGTCACAGGCCCAGCCGACGTCTGAGATTATTGCGACATCTCCACGTTGCGCTTAATATTCATGTGCTGCAACACAGTGCACTTCCGCCATTATTCTAACGCAAACTACTTACTAGGATATAGCAACGTAGCCAGTACCTAATCTTAACTCTTTGTGTAGTTTCTCATTATCATGGTCTAAAGACCCGCCCTCAAGCCAGTACCTAATCTCAAACCTTTTGTGCAGTATTCCACGTCACCCATATGAAATAAAGCGGAGAAAAATCCCACGGACTTTTATTTCACTCCCGTTGAGCCATACATCTAAGCCAACTTTCCATGCCATGCATTCTGAATTTGAATTTTTGAGCAATATCTTCTCGTTTAATGGATTTCCTTCTGGCTTGGTGTTTACCCAGATTGAGAAATTCATGTTTAAGCGATACAGTGAAGTTGTTCCAGAGCCTGATGGTAGAAACGTTGTTTACTGTACTCCTCCATACTTCGGCGGCGCGTCCGAAGTTATGCCAAGAGAATTAAAAGATTTGTTTATGAAATACTTTCCGGACAATAACCTTCGTATCTTACTGGTGAATAATTTTAAAATAGGTTGGATTTTTAGGTACAAAGATATATTTTTAGGTACAAAGCTGTGCAGAATCTGGTCGTAATCAGCGATGGGGGTCGGCGATGTGGATTCACTGCCTAGATATCTGATACAATTAGGTGATTCCCAGAATCGGCGAGTAGCTCGTCATGACTTAATATTCCTCCATTTCAACACTAACTTATTATGATTAAATTCTTCCACGAAAGTAGTTACACCGTAATTTATTTGTAATGTTACGAGCAATCTCCTCGTAAACACGAGGAGATCAGATAACTAACATGTTCAGAATACATCAATCGATTCCAGCTCATCAATTCAACGGATATGTGATGAAAACCAAATTAAGTATTACTGTCTTCCTAAAAAGTTTCAGTTTTTTTTGCGTACAAAAATCAAGCGCATGTTAGAGAATATGACCACATTATTCCGCAAGAAAATTGAAAATGGGTATAAGAATTTACTCAAGCTTATCCTCGCTCGCAATTGAGGCGGTGATGACTGTCCCTCTGAATTTTCGAGCGGATTATGCTGGATATATTAATTTAATGATCAGCAGCATGTCAGCGCTGACTCGATCATCACAAAATCGATCCATTTAGGCTCAAAATAGTATTTTCAGTGCTTTTTAAGACTTAAAGACAAAACTTATTGCCAGAATCGTAGGTTTTCATGGCTTATTAAATTTTATGCGATAAAATGAGTGAAATGACGTGTTAAATCAGCTGTTGACACAAATTAGTAATAATGAAAACGTGTTTGCATGATCATAATACAGCGATATCTATCATGAAATATTCCAAATGACTATAGAAGTTAATTTGGTAGTTAGAAACCAATTAAGGGTGTCAATTCTTCTGAAATTTATAAGCAAAGCTTATGACTAGCAGTTACCTAATCATAAGATTCGGCAGAATATTAAGACGCATACCAGAATTTCATTATGAACTTTACAATGTCAAACGTTGATTTAGATATAAGTGATATAACAAAATCGTTCACTCAGTTTTTCGAAAACGGATTTTTATTTCCACCTTGTCCTCATGACAGTTCTTTAACTCAACAGACCTTGCCACGTACCTAGTGTTTTAGTTTGTTGACGTTTCAGTTTTGCCAGCATGTCGACGAACAAGTTTTCAATTGTAGATATTGACGTGAGTGAGAATATAATTTTAAAATAAATGATTTGTTTTCATCAGATGATTTACTGTTGACGATATTTATTGTATCACTAAAATTTATTGCTAACCTGCGAATTTATATAATATTGCTATTGCCTACCCTAATGCCCATTCCTTTGAAATTTGAATTTGCATTACAAATTTATTATTTAAACTAACTAGGTAAATTTTTCTATATATTACTCGGTGCGCAATGTGTTGTATAACTATAAGCTATGTTATACTATTATACACCAAGATTGAGCTAGGTATGATGATTACCAGACTTCATCCATCTTTCTTTTCTTCCCTAAATTCAAAAATACCAATTTGGCCTAATTCAAAAGGATTATAGGATTAGGACCTCCAGAGTCCAGATTGCATCAACCGTCAAGTCGTCAAGCTGTTAAAGTAAACATAATAATTCATATTTATCTCCAAGAATGAAGAATGTTCATTTCTAAATTCTTGTTCTAGCTATTTAATCAAGTAAATCAACAATCCTCTAATGATCAGCTTTATCTTGTTTGACAAAAAAAAAAAAAAAAAAACTGTGACAAAATCTTGTTTGATTCTATATATAGTATAATATAATGTACTCAATCTAGAACAAATAGTCACCAAATTCCCTCATTAAAATTTAATTTTTTTACATTTCAGAATGAGAATGATGAGCTTCAATTTCAAGGTGAGCCTTGTGAGGATCATGATTAAATAATGATATTTTCCTCGTGATTCTTTGAAAACTCTTCCTAATATTTAAGACTGGGTCTGGAAGAGGATTATTTAATATAAATTTTCAATTATTATGTTCCAGTTCAAGTTTTTCCTTTTGGAAGTCAAAGTTAGCTACCTAAAAATATATAGATATATTGCATTGATGCATTATCAATTAATTAATTATTATTAGTATAATTCAAATTGATTTTATAACATTGATAGGTATAACAGAAATCTCTCATAATTTTGTACTTTCTGGATTAGAAAAAATTTTAAACATAGCCTATTTTGGCTTCATGTGACATGTTGAAAGTAAGAAAAATAAAAAATAAATATTTTTTAGGGATTTCAGTTTTATATTTATTACCTGAATTACCAAAATATAGTACATAACTTGTAATTGAAATATTATCCTTCAAATCAATTAATAGTTCAAGGAAATAAGCCTATTCGTGATAATATTCTATTAAATGCTATGCTATTTTGCAATTTTAGGTATAGCTTGTTGTATATTTATATATATAAAATATTTAAATTTCTAGTATTTTTCCTTGATTTCTGACAGGTAGTATGCGCGATTGTATTGATATTTCTATGACCTGTACATGAGCAGACTTTGGACTGAGTGAGGGCAGCAGAGGGGCAGGAATTGGCCCGTCTAATAACTTCACTGATAGTGCAGGCCATCAGACAGACTCACAAAAGGTAAGTTTAGTGGACAATTTTACTTCTGATTCAACCCTGTTATATCTTGTATGTATAAAATTTAAGGCTAGGAGTTTCATTGTGTGGCTATCCTTATTTTATCACTGGTAGTATTCCAGACTCATAAATTATTTATAGTCACTACTCTGTCAGAAATTCTATCCATTTTATTAAAGCTGAAAATAAAGTTTTTTTGAAATATTTTTTAGGCTACAAGTGTGCTAAATTAAGTTAATTCTAATTAAAACTTTGAAGTAAAATATTATTGAGTAGAAAGCCTGACTGTTTTATAAATAATATAATGGGTGCTGTTTGATTAAATAGTTTGTTTGGTTATCAATAGCTTGTTGATGTTCAATAATAACCAGGTAACTGTGATTTGGATGCTGAGGTGTTCATTTTGCAGTGATTTGGGTATGTGTGTATACCACTTGCAAATTTACTGTTACTATAATTTTGTAATAAAAAAGGAATTTTGTCTGTGTTGTTTTGTTTTGAACCTCAAATCTCATTCTCAAATTCATGGCTACTACCTCTTGAATTCTTGTCACGAGCTACTGCGCTCACTGGAACATACCTGTGAAGCTCACCAGATAATCCGTGGCTCTTCCAGGACTGTCATTCTCCTCAGCGCAAACGTGGAAAATATTCAGCTTCATCAACCACTGAATCCAAGTCTGAGGAGCAGAAAACTCCTGTTGATCAGCCTTCAAGTCGGCAGAAGTCAAAGCCCACTCTTAATCTTGATGAAATGGAAAACTTTTCTCCCAGCACCGACCAATTTGACTCTAGAGAAATTGAGTTGTCTGACTCCTCAAACTTTTTGTTGCATGTAAACTCAATTCATTGCCCTAGCAACAAAGACATTTTTGCTGGCGAGAATCACCAGAAACTTGTAAGTGAAAGCAAGAACCTTCATTCGATCGTGTCTAAGGCAGCGGTCACGGCGATTTTATCTGATGATGTGCACTCCACCATTGAACTTGCTTATGCTTTATTGTTGCGAGTTCAAGATAAGTCTTTGGTCTCCAAGGCTGTCAAGAACTTGGCCGCGAGTTGGCCAGTGCCTGAGTTGCAGCATTTGAAGCGCGTGAAAAAGTTCCCTAAAATTTCTAAGTATGTTGGAGTAATTGAGGAATTCGTGAGTCAAGCCTCGGCCATACCCGAAGATCGTGGGAAAACAAAATGTCATTCCTATTTTTCGACCGAAAATTCACGTGTTAGTAATCAGGAAAAGGGTCCTGAAAACGACGTGTTTTTTGTTTACGTCGATTTGTTATACACATTCATTGAACAAGAAAACAATCATGATATTTTTACTGATTCTTCTTCACATGATTCTTTACTGTTGACGAATGCAGAAATGAATAAATTTAAGTCAACATGCATTGAGTTGAATTTACCGAAACCTATAGCAAGCAACGAAGTTGTACATGTTATCCGTCAAAAGCTCTCTTTCAGAGGAGTTGACTTGTCACTTTTCAGTCCCGTTTTGTATGTGGGAAAAGTTAGCAAATACGCACCCAGACTACGGTATCAGTTTGAGACGGTGACTGCTCACTGGCCATGCTCATTCCATGAAGACGAATATTTGGCAAAACTTATACGGGGCGATAACTTCACTGGAGACGAGGTCCAGAGCATTTTGAAGTACATGAATCTTGCTCTTTGCCTAGCCTATGGATATGATGATGGAGTTGACCGAAAAGAGATGAAAAATTCGTCAACTTGTAATGTAATGCCGCCAGCTAAAATTCCTGATGCCGCACGTGATCGCTGTGAATCTCATCTATGTAGCTCATGTTCAGGAGTATTTACAAACCGTGAAAAATGTTGCGTTCAGCTCTCAAAAGCGACCGCCACCTGCACTTCAACATTTGATTCTTCGGTAAAAACTTCACGTGAATTCCCATCTTGTTCGTCATCTTCAGGAAATTATAACTTGACTCGTTGCACCGTAGCAGAAAATATGGAAATCTCGTCAAACGGAAGCAAATTTCATTGCAAGCACCACCTTCCACCTCGTTCTGCGTGCCTCATGGTGGACAGCTCACGCGATCGTGTCGTGGTGCAGGTGCGCGACTTACGGGACGTTCATCCTTTGGCTCACGCTGCTATGGTGGCCGTGGACCACGTGGCCCGCACCCTCGGGGGTGGATGCTGGCAGTCTCTTGATGAGAGGAGGCTGGCAAATGTCCCAAGGTCTCCTCAAGTTTCCAGTATTCCTGTTGATGAACGGGACAATAGGAGGACTTCTAACCTTGATGAACAGGACGATAGAAACACGTCTAACCTTGAAGAACAGGACGATAGAAAAAAGTCTAACCTTAATGAACAGGACGATAGAAACATACCTAACCTTAATGAACAGGATGATAGAAACATACCTAACCTTAATGAACAGGATGATAGAAACATACCTAACCTTTCTGAGAGCGAACGTAACAAGGGCCCTCATTCTGCAAAAAAACATGTGAATTTTGCAGCTGCTTCATTGAAACTTTCCTCTCCTACAACGCTTCATTCCGATGAAGCTTCACGATCCTGTAACTCCAACTCTCACGCTCCAGGACCATCGGAGTCTGATGAATGTACAAGTTCCTATATTTGCACTGGTCTGGACGCCTACCTTAGCCACGAGCCTTGCATGATGTGTGCCATGGCGCTGCTTCACTCGCGTGTGCAACGCGTGTTCTACCACCACAGAAATGCTGAAAAAGGCGCCTTGGGCTCCGTTGTGAAGCTCCATACTTTGCCGAACATCAACCATCGTTACGAGGTCTTCAATGTTACCGCTGTGGAGGATTGTTAGCGTCATATCTTCTGGAATAAAATGAAAAGTATTCGCAAAAGTGACTCAAGTTACGATTTATTTAGTTTCCTCTTACTTACAGCTCATTCGGCTGAAAATTAATAAAGTTTCCTTCCTCGACGGTAATGGTTCCTATACTTTTTCGATCAAGTACGTACCGTTTTGAAGTTCCACCGTGTAAGTGTAGAACCAACTAATGTTACATATCACGCGATAAACCTAAGTTTTTTAGTTGAATTAAATATTACTCAATGAACCGATAATTATTGTATCAATTGTGTTCTTTAATTTAACGCTGCTAACCGGTGGAAGGCACGTGGCTAACATTTAAAAATCGCAATCGAGTTCGCAACTCCATCAGCCAACCACAGACTGCTTGTCAAGCGAAGCCCACCAATCACAAACGATAAATCGGCCGCTTCGTGTACAGTACTTAGGCGAGGTCTGATAGTAAAGTCGAGTAGAACTGTTCAATTTAAGTAATATTTTAATCCTGATTTATTTTTTGTTTTTTATCACTTCTGATAGCATCGATTGACGGCAGTTTTGCTATTAAACATTACCTATATATGAAATACGCTTATCATTATCCTAATATGTGTAATTATGTGTGGATTTATCGTATGAATTCAATATTTTTATTATGATCTTCTGATTGCAGCTGGTTATTCTTATTCGTTTGGTACACTATGTCAGAACTGAATCACAGTACTTTAATTCATATTGTTTTCGAATTTTTACCGTTGAATAGATGTAAATAATTTAGTCCTAACACGATTTTGCAATCGTTTATTATTAAAAAAAAATGCTTATATTGCTGATGTATTACGTAGTCGCTTTTAATATTTTTCTGTTTAACTAGAAGAAATTTAGACACTGGAAGAAGTAAAGGCAACCCTTGTACTTTTTTAACACTTTCAAGTCTTTCGAAAGTAATAATATAAGTATGATTGAGTTCGATGCTATAACGCGTCCAATATGGTCTCTGAACGACGATCTGAAGTTGACCACTATTATAATCAAGCATTAGTGTAAGGGATACGTGGTGTTATAATAATAGACTATCATTACTGATAAATTACCTGTATTTGTATCAAACTAAAGTACAATTGGTATCTAGTCGTAATCGATGTTTTATATTGAGAGAACTACTATTTGTTTCAAGCAAAAGAATTTTGAAAAAATATTATAATCAATTTGTAATATTGCAACGGTATTAAGAGATGGAAAAATATTTGTATTAAACAAAGGTATTCGAAAGAAATCTTATCATAATCAATGTGTAAATTGCAACAGTATTAAGAGATGGAAAATATTTGCATTAAACAAAGGTATTAGAAAAAAAATCCTATGTGTAATCTTGCAAAGTATTAAGGAATGAAAGAATATTTGTGTTGAACAAAGGTATTAGAAATAAATCCTATCATAATCTGTGTTATGTTGCACAGTATTAAGAGATGAAAGAATGTATTAAACACAGGTATTAGAAATGAATCGTATCATAATCGACGTAAATAACATAACACAGCTGCTGGGTGAGTACCATGATGATGACGAGATGCCGCCACCACGCACCACGACCGACCAGTCGAAGGTACCATCACTGTGGACGCTCGAGTACTACCAGCGATACTTCGATGTGGATACCAAGCAAGTGGGGGACCGCATCATGTGGTCCATGGTGCCCAAGCCTGGCGTCAGCTTTCTCGAGCGGCATATCAAACCTAAACCTGATCTCTACGGTGAGTTTCTCGCATTGAAACTATTTTAGATTCGCGGGTAGATCGCGCGTTATCTTATGAAATCTAGTTAAAGTTAAAAAAGTACTGATAATGAAGAAATTTCATTTGGGTAAGTGTTGCTTATTATATTGAACTAAAGTTTATAGATGGATTCAAATTAGGACGACAGGAAATGTTGAGAAGGAAATCAATATCTAATGATTAAGAAAATATTATGAAAAAATGCGAACGAGTCTGGCCTGAAACGTATATGGAACAAGGGCAGTACTATCAAAATAAACTCATTCGGCCATTCCGCCAATTACTTAATTTTTATTCTGATTATGTTCTGAAATGTGGGATTTGATTAACCTCAAGACTTTGGACGCCGATAATATAGATATCGCGGCCTTGTGCTTCCAATATTACAGGCATTTTAGCCTCTGCATTGAATTCAAATCGATTTACTAGGCACCTGCGAATTAGTACCTATATAGGCAATTTATCAGGGTAATCGATTAAAGAGCAGGTTGAAAATTTAATAAAAAAAAAAAAGAATTTAGATTATATTTTGACAGGGTAAGGTTGAATTGAAAAGGGTGTTCTGTGATATTATAATCAATTACTATGTTTTCACCTCTGACTCTTTGTACAATGCATTGTATTAGGCCAAACTCAATTCATGCTGCCTCCTTATTTATGCTCCGCCAAACCGTTTCGCTGCATCCTCCTTTTCTTATTCCTATTCCGTCGATATTTGTCAATTAACTTTCAAAGGTCGGTAATTTGATTATTTTAACGTGGTTTCCCCGTGCAGGGCCGTTCTGGATATGCCTGACGCTCGTATTCGCTGCCGCGATCGCCGGCAACGTCTCTAATTACCTGCAGACTCGCGGCGAACTGAGCGAGTATTGGCGGTATGACTTCCATAAAGGTGCGTGTTCTGTACAGCTTGTACACTTTTATTGATCTTTAGCAATCGAAATGTGTATGGCTTCTAGTATTATTACAAGTTTTCTTTGTTTAATCTTAGATATATACGGTATTGGATTTTTTTTTCTAATTGACCCTCAATTACCTTATTTCTAAGTGGCACTCGAATACTATACCTATCTTTTGTTTTTCCATTTGATCCTCGACTATAATTTTCCATTTGATTCTCGAATATATTTTATCATTTGATCTTTGAATGTATCTTTTCCAACTGATTCTTGAATACCTATTTTTTATCGGAAAAGATTTTCAAGTTTTCTAAAAACTTCCTTTTCAATTACACTTAGGCGTCGAATAATGATTCTGGATAAAAAAGACACGATCGCAGTTCTGAAATAAAAATCCATATATTCTAACGTTTCGGCTATCTACACTTTAGCCATCATCAGAGTAAATAAGATGATAATCTGGAAAGAATAGAAATTCAGATAAGAATACAGT